GTGTAGATCAGATAAGACAATGTGTGTAAGAATTTTAAATTGCTGCCAGACAAATGACATTCTCCACCTCCTTCCCTCTGATTTTCCCTAACTAGCTGTGTGGCTTTGGGCAAGTCAGTTCTCTCTCTGGGTTGCAATGTTCTCAACAGCAAAATGTGGGACTGTATTAGATGATTTCTATGGACCCTTCTAACTTGAAGCTTTTAGGACAGTTCTGTGATCCAGACATTTAGATACAGCCAACCCTTTTATGAATGCTAACTGTTGAATATCAGGTTTTTTGAGGACTGCTTTATCTGACTGGTAAGGATGGCATTTATACATAGCTGCTCTTTGCACACTGTAACATGGTAAAAAGGCTTGAGAACGAAACACGTGCCTTAATGATCTTTACTTTTTTCACTTGAGCAGCACAAAGGTACACTACAGCTGCACCTGAACAAGCACAAGGTGTCCACCTACCTCGCCCCTAGTACAGTCCTTCAGAGCCGCTGCTGATGACCAAAACTCACCTGTGATGGGAGTGAAGTCCAGCCCCCACTGTCTGAGGGACACACACACTGGATGGGTAGCCACTGTCTCTGGCCTTGGGACAATTCCTTTGTCTTAGCAGGCAGCAGGGTAAAATGGAATGAGCTTTGGAGTCCTAGACTGAATTATCCCAGATCCTCTACTAGCTAAGAGAACTTAACTTAGGCAAGTTAACCTTTCTAAGCTTCAGTTTCCCCATGGGTAAAACTGAGGTAAATAGATGTTTCTGGCAGAACTGTGTGGGTTAAATTAGATGCAGAGTCCTCAGGCAGGGCAGTAGGATTGATGGAAAGATCTCTCCTTCTAGGCTGAGACAGACCTGAGGTTCAAATCCACTTCTACCAGTGTTGCTGACCTGGCCACTGCTTAGCCTCTCTGAGCCTGCATCCACATCAACAGAACAGGGATACCACCACTGATAGGATTGCTGTGCTTGCGCCTTTACTAGCAACCCAGTGCTTGTTTCCCTTCCTCAACTCCCATCCCCATGCTAATCTAGCTTCCATGCCTGGATTAAAGTACTGGTGTAAACAGAAAACACCTTCTCCAGCCATTTAGGACTCAGTGTTGTTGTTAGGTGCCTTCATGTCGGTTCTGACTCATAGTGACTGTGATGGTTAAGACTGTGTGTCGACTTGGCTGGACCATGATTCTGTTTATATGTGATCACCGCTATGATGGGATCTGGAGTGAGTAGCCAATCAGCTGAAAGGGAGTTACCTTGGGCATGTGGCCTCCATCGGAATATAAGTGGACGTTCTGGCTTTTGCCTGCTCTGAATCCTACAGCTGCCTCCTGTTCATCTGACCTCCAGCTCTTGTGACCTGAGCTAGCAGCTTATCTGCCAATCTTGGGATCTATCAATCTTCACAGCCTGTGAGCAAGAGCCCTGCTCTCCAACCTGCTAATCTTGGGTTCACCAGCCCCTGCAGCTACGTGAATCAGAAGCCTTGCAGTCTTGCCTGCCAATCTTGGGGTTCATCGATCTTCACAGCCTGTGAACAGCCCTGCTCTGCGACCTGCTGATCTTGGGTTTGCCAGCCCCTGTAGCTACGTAAATCAGGAAAAGCCTCTATCCTGATCCACAGACTTGGTATGTTCCAGCCTCTACAATTGTGTAAGCCATTTCCTTGGTATAAATCTCTCACAGTATATATTTATACACTTTACTGGTTTTGCTTCTCTAGAGAACCCAGCCTCAGACAGTGACCCTATGTACAACAGAACAAACAATGCCAGATCCTGCGCCATCCTCACAATCATTGCTATGCGTGAGCCTGTTGTTGCAGCCACTGTATCAATCCATCTCACTGAGGGTCTTCCTCTCTTTCGCTGACCCTCTACTTTATCAAGCGTGATGTCCTTCTCCAGGGACTGGTCCCTCCTGATAACATGTCCAAAGTACATAAGTCTTACCATTCTCATTACCAAAAGCACTCTGGCTGTACTTCCAAGACAGATTTGTTCATTCTTGTGGCAGTCTATGGTAATAAATATTCAATATTCTTTACCAACACCATAATTCAAAGGCATCAGTTCTTCTCTGGTCTTCCTTATTCATTGTCCAGCTTTCGCAAGCATATGAGGCGACTGAAAATACCATAGCTTGGGTCAGGCACACCTTAGCCCTCAAAGTGACATCTTCACTTTTTAACACTTTAAAGAGGTCTTTTGCGGCAGATTTGCCAAATGCAACACATGGTTTGATTTCTTGACTGTTGCTTCCATGGTCGTTGATTGTGGATCCAAGTAAAATGAAATCCTTGACAACTTCAATCTTTTCTGTTTATCATGATGTTGCTTACTGGTCCAGTTGTAAGGATTTCTGTTTTATGTTGACGTGTAATCCATACTGAAGGCTGTGCTCTTTGATCTTCATCAGTTAAGTGCTTCAAATCTTCTTCCCTTTCAGCAAGCAAAGTTGTTTCATCTGCATAAAGCAGGTTGCTAATGAATCTTCCTCTAATCCTGATGCCATGTTCTTCTTCATATAGTCCAGCTTCTCTAATTATTTGCTAAGCATACACACTGAGTAAGTATGGTGAAAGGATACAATACTGATGCACACCTTTCCTGCCTTTAAACCACGCAGTTTCCCCTTGTTCTTTTCGAACGACTGCCTCTTGGTCTACGTACAGGTTCCTCCTAACGAGCACAATTAAGTGTTCTGGAATTCTCATTCTTCACAATGTTATCCGTAATTTGTTATGATCCACAGTCCAATGCCTTCGCAAAGTCGATAAAACACAGGTAAACATCTTTCTGGTATTCTCTGCTTTCAGTCAAGATCCATCTGACATCACAATGATATCCTTCATTCCACATCCTGAGTCCAGCTTGAATTTCTGGAGTTCCCTGTAAGTGTACAGCTGCAACCATTTTTTAATTATCTTCAACAAAATTTTATTTCCGTGTGATATTAATGATATTGTTCGATAATTTCCGCATTCAGTTGGATCACCTTTCTTTGGAATGAGCACAAATATGGATCTCTTCCAGTTGGTTGGCCAGGTAACTGTCTTTCAAATTTCTTAGCATAGATGAGTGAGCACCTCCAGCACTGCATCCGTTTGTTGAAACATCTCAACTGGTATTCTGTCAATTCCTCGAGGCTTGTTTTTCGCCAACACCTTCAGTGCAGCTTGATCTTCTTTCTTCAGTACCATCAGCTCTTGATCATATGCTACCTTCTGAAATGGTTGAACATCGACCAATTCTTTTTGGTACAGTTACTCTGTGTATTCCTTCCATCTTCTTTTGATGCTTCCTGTGTTGTTCAATATTTTGCCTATAGAATTCTTCAGTATTGCAACTTGAGGTTTGAATTTTTCTTCAGTTCTTTCAGCTTGAGAAATGCCGAGCGTGTTCCTCCCTTTTGGTTTTCTAACTCCACGTCTTCGCGCATTTCATTATAATACTTTACTTTGTCTTCTCGATCCGCCCCTTGAAATCTTCTGTTTAACAATTTTACTTCATCATTTCTTTCATTTGCTTTAGCTACTCTATGTTCAAGAGCAAGTTCCAAAGTCTCTTCTGACATCTATTTTGGTCTTTTCTATCTTTCCCATCTTTTTAATGATCTTTTGTTTTCTTCATGTATGATGCCCTTGATGTCATCCCACAACTCATCTGGTCTTCGGTCAAGATGAAGAAATTGAAGATTTTTTACCAACTTCTGCAGTCTGAAATTTATCAAACATGCAAAGATGGATTGATAATTACTGGTGATGGGAATGTGAAAGTTGGAAACGAAGGATCGGTACTTGGAAAATATGGTCTTGGTGACAGAAACAATGCCAGAGTTCACAAGATAGAATTTTGCAAGACCAATAACTTCTTCATTGCAAATACCTTCTTTCAACAACATAAACGGCAACTATACATGTGGACCTTGCCAGATGGAATACACAGAAATCAAATCGACTACGTCTGTGGAAACAGAGACGGAGAAGTTCAGTATCATCAGTCAGAACAAGGCCAGGGGCCAACTGCAGAACAGACCATCAGCTGTTCACATGCAAATTCAAGTTGAAGCTGACGAAAATTAAAACAAGTCCACCAGAGCTAAAACACGACCTTGAATACATTCCACCTGATTTTAGGACCTGTAGAAGACTCAAACAGCCCATACCCAACCCCAAGGCTTCTTAAATCACTGCCCCAGCCCTCTGCCCCACCAGTCTTGCCTTGCCAGAGTAGCTCTTTCAGATTGGGAAGTTTCCTGACCTGGCATTTACTATCCGTCCTGGGCAATCTGTACCCCTCAAAGGCAGAAGTGTGGCTTTTTTTTTTAAATCTCTGCATCTCTCATGGGAGGGCTTGACACAGAGTATGTGCTCAGCAAATGTTAAGAAATGCTCCACTTCCAGCTTTTAGAAACAGCTTTCTAGAAAGGCAGTGCCGGGACAACACAGAGGGTAAGACTGGGGCAAGGGTGGAGGATTCCCTTGGAAAGTAAGAGAGGAGCTTGTAAAAGAACATGACACTTGGAGTCAGAGGATCTGGACTCAAACCTCAGCTCTGCCACTTGCCAGCTAAAATATTTGGGCAAGTCACTGTATCTCTCGATCTGTGCTGATTCCGTGTCTGTAAAACAAGGATCGCAGTATCTGCTTACCACAGCACCTGGCACATAAAGAAAAGTACTTCGTAAGTACTAGCCATTTATTGTTATTATTATTATTACTAACTATAATAATAGTAATAATAGGCTAACACATACTACACCTATTTTTTATGTGCCAGGCACCATTTTAACTATTTTAAAGTATTAATTAATCTCACTACAACTTGGAGGTAGGTATTATTTATCCTCATTTTATAGGTACTGTAAATCAGGAAAATGAAGCTCAGAGAAATTAAATAACTTCCCCTAAGTTTGCAGAGCTACCAAGATACTCAATAAAGGGCAACATTTACTGTTATGAGCCAGCAATGCAAGGGGCACAATCTGAGAGGCTCCAAGGATGGACTGCAGAGTTTCTGGGTCTGGACTAGCTCCAAACTTGTTCCCTCAATTGCAGCAAATGACACAAACTAATCAGTGTTGTAAATAGAGTTAACATATTTATTTTAAGTGCCATTCATGCACATCAGTTCTGGCAGCAACAATCCTAATGACACTTGGAATATCTCTTTACAGCACTAAACAATTACAAAGAAAGGGTGCCGTTCATCATAGAGGCAAAATATGAAATCGTGCAATAGCAAAACTGTAGAAACATTAAAACACTGACTGTCCAACAGCAGTACAGAGAGCAGGTTGTGTTTGCACAAAAAGCCAATGCATTTTCATCACATATATACAATATAGATATGTACACATCACCCTCTGAATGAACAATATCAAAATACTCTATTCCATTTGAAATAATCCCCGGATTGATTCCCTCCCACTTCAAAGGACATCTGAGAGACATGTATTTACAAGAACACACATGAGTACATTTACATTTCAAAAACTGCCACAAATGCCAGTCGGATTATTCTCCTGGACAGAGTGCCCCATTTGATTGCTTGCATTTATTATTCTTTTCCCCAAAAGTCTTTAGTCAACTTAAGCCCAAGACAGAACTTGCTCTGCATTAACCACCACCTACTGAAATGGCCACTAGAGGGACTCTAGACCTCACCAGGCAGCCCTGTCAGGCCAGATGGGGCCCACTGAAAAGGCCTGTCCTGGGCTCAGGGGCCACCTGGATCACAGGAGAGTAGGGTGGGTCTGGGTGGAGGTCCTGCCTCTAGGCCATTCTTGGTAAGTTTTTAGTTCTCATAAAAATATTGATCACTGCAAATCAGTAAATGATTGCCAAACGGGAAATTCGCTTCACACAATTTGTAAAATCTTCATCAGTGGTTTCTACCCAAATCACTCAGTAAAAGAGACCACATTCTAATACCCACATTGTTTAAAGTGCATATTGCTACCCAAGCAATTTAAACAGTTTTAAAAAAGCTATTCTGGTGTCTGGAAAACAGTGACTTGAGCAGACTACTGAAAATCCCTCCCTTTTTCTCAAGCTTTTACTCTGCAGGCTGCTATCTCATCTTGCCTCTCTCTGATGCTTCTAAGAGGGGCCTGTTGCCTGCCTTTCCAGAATCCTCTGATTTTCGCTGATCTAAGGGGCTGAAACTGAGCTGCTTTCTTTAGGCCAAGCAGGGTCCAAACAATGAAGGAACATAAAGCCTCTCCTTTCTCCCCAACTTCACCAGCCCTTACTATGGCTGGCTTCCCAGTGATTCATTCAAGGCAACACTCCATTAAAAAAAAAAAACACAACACATGCACACATTCACAAACACACAGAACAAAGATGCTTGTTTAGTTCAAGTACAGTTACTTAATTACAGAATCACTAAGGCTAATTAAATTAATCTGAGGATGGCTGATAGAGACCAGAGATGCTAAAAAGCAACCAGAAGCAGTTATTTACTCCTTGATTTGATGGAACATATCATTTCCCCATTAGAATGAAAGAAATTCTTCTTTTTTTTTTTTGGTCTAAAGAACCAATTCAAAATCTATTTATTTAAAAATTGTGTTTCTTCTAGTTTTATTATAAAATTAAGACAATCTATGCAAAGTAGCTGTGATACAAAATAATACAAACAACCAGAAAATAACCTTAAGAGGCAGTCTGCATTTCAAAGAAAGTGACCAAACGTCATGCATACAGACACACAGGACAGATGTGACAGCAAAAACAGCAGGCCACTTAACAATAACTGCACGGACAAGTGAGGGAAACAAAATCTATGTGTCACTCTACCCTCATTTCAGTGCCACTTACATGGAAAGAGAAAGAGTGGGAAAACTTGCTTTATAAACACTGCCCTGCTGTTCCGTTGCTCAAATGAACTCTGATTCAAATCCCAGAAAAACCCTTTTTAGCTAATGAGTCTCAATCAGCAGGAATGCTAAGAGAAATATACTCACATGGTAAAAGGAGTAATGATAAAATCACACAATCTCTGATTGTCTTGTCTATAAACTCTCATCAAGAAAAATAATTCTGTGCTTTGAGATACTGCAATTCTCCTTAATGAACCCAACAGGAGCTAAGCATTCATGGAAGGTAATAATAAATACTAAAATAACACTTAAAAATAATAAATACCTCAGTGAATGTGGGGGCAATGATTTGTTTAAAGAGCCAAACAATGCCCAGCTTCTAATTGATCAAATGAACTTTAGAGCTGTTATAATGCAGACTTAGGAAAACAGACAATGACAAGGTACAACATACACTCTGTAATACCCAAGCATGAAAACACATCTGGTTAGTTCTTTATGCTGCTCAGGAACAACACGCCCCTTTGGATTTTCTGTAGAATATCAAACTCTGGGTCCCCTGACTTACTAAGCAGAATTCACTACCCACATTTCTAAAAAGGATTAAATAGAGGAATTGGGCTTTGCAAAAATCTGTTTCCTTTCAGTTGCTTACATCAATGAAAAGCATCCTGCAGAAAATAGCCTAAGAAGGAATAAAAACAGTAACTTTCTTTTCAAGACATAATAATCCATTTAAAAGAAAAAAAACAAACTGAAGCCTTTCAGTAATTTTTGTACATATATTTACACATACGGGTCTATAAACTGCTTGCAGCAAAACAGTCTCTGTCTGAAAAATCAGTCTGGCACTTGCGGTCAACATCAAACTGACACAAATATGCAAAAGCCATCCAAATCACACAACGGTTAGGAGCTACATAGGGCAGCTGGCAGGGAGACAAACATGTAGTACTTGTTTGGGTCAGATAAAAGCAGTAAGTTATCCAGCTAAAATCTTTCTGATTGTCTTCAAAAGAAATTTTGATAACATTGGTAAAGTGATTAGCAACTTCGTTTTCTCAACTGGATTCTCTTAAACCCTTCCCTTCACTGCACAGAAAGGTGACGTGGGGTTTGGTGCCTTGCAGAAACAAGACCTACACAATTGAATCCCAATCAAAGTCATCCTGGATATCATCTGGAGGCAGGGAGCGCCGCATCTGGAAGGCTTGGGAAGGCATCATGTGCTGCTGGTTCATGGCTCCGTGGTGGCCTGGAAGAAAGGCAGCAATGTCAGTAGGAACCTGGTAGAAAATAAAAGAAGAAATAAACTAAACCCCTACTGGGTACTTCCTATGTGCCAAGAATTCACCACACATTATCTCACCAATCCAGCCTAAGTCTTCAACAAGGTAGCTCTTATGATCCTCATATAGGGTTTAAGCTAGGGTTTAAGAGGACGAGCAAGTTAGCCAAAGTCAGACAGCTAGTAAGTGACTGAGACAGAATTTGAACTCAGTTCATGTGACTCCACAACCCATGTTCTTCCCATTACACCAGGCTGTAGCAAGGAAGGCATAAGAGTGCGAGTATACCCAAGTGCTGATGCAAACCATTTCTTTTACAGTCTGTTCTGCTCCAACATGTGTTTCAGTTACATGAACTGGCCCACATGAGAATGGTAAATAGGAGAATGACGTCGGTATAACACTGAAGTCACACTGGGTCACGGTGAATTTTCCCCAGCAGGTTAATTTGTGTGCCACCAAGTAACAGCAGGTAAACACACAGAACATTAACACAGCTGAATACAGAAAACCCTGGAGGAACACAGTGGGTGCACACAATACCCACTCCCTCCGTGCTCTTCTTCCTGATCAGTCTGGTTGTGTGCTCCGTCATTTGTGCTCCCCAGTTCAGCGCATTCCTGCCCTTGTCTCCATTGCTTGACAGACCCCCTTCCAAACCAGCAACCTCTTTCCTTTTTTTAAAAAAAAAATAAAGTGCTTGAAAAGTTTATTCTTTTATTAGGAATTAAGCACAGTCTTTTAATTGTGCTGGTATTTTTCCTGGATTATTATTGTTTTTGCTAGGACGATGATTACAAAGTTGAGTAGTCTGCCACTAATCTTATTTTTCTCTTAAGCCCAGTAATTTTTTTAGTACAATTTACAAAATGCTAAGGCTTTCAGTATATTACAGTGTATCAGGAATGCCTATATTTATTTATTTAACAAAAACTTGTAAACTCCTTACTATGTGCCAGGCGTTTACTAATTTAAGTGCTTTACATGTAACCCTTGTTTGATCCTCCTAACAACCCTAAGAGTTAGGTAGTGTTAGTATCCCCCATTTTACAAACAGGAAAGATAAGACAGGAGGATTAGGTAGCTTGCCCAACAGCATACAGCTAAGTGATGAAACACAAGGATTCAAGCCCTGGCAATCTAGCTCCAGAATCTTAACTACCATTATCATGCCACCTACAAGATACTGGTGAGAGCCCCAGGACAGACAGATAACACTTTACTGTATCCCCTTCATCACTTGGTCCCAACTCCTCCTTCACTACTGTCTGACACACAGTTCTTTTGGGGGTTTTAAATCCCCACCCCACCCCATCACCTTTAGTGTTTTCCTTATACCGCCTAAGTAAAGGGTGGTGTGGTATATGAGAAAAGTAATGGACTCTGGACCCAGACATCTGGGTTTGAGTCTTGGTTTGGTCACTAACCAAACTAAGTAGTCTTGGACAAGTTACCTCCCCTTCTGAGCCTCCATTTCCTCATCGAGGTTATCTTTAAGACCCCTTCTAGTCCTAACAGTGTGCCCTATTCCCCTGCTAAATGTAACTTATTCTACATTTCAGAACATAGTGGAAAAAAACTTTAGCACTTTAGTAATTCCTGAAACTTACCTCCTCTATGAGGTACTTCTCTGGAAACTGTAGTTGGGGGAACTCCATTGAAGTGAATGGGGTAGAATCTATAGGACATAATCTAAGTAGGTTCCTGAAGTCTGCTAACATCCTGTCAAAATAGCCTCAAGGAAACTTAAGACCTCAGAACAGCACTGCGTCCCTGGACCTCTCTGAGAAACAGGACAATAATCAGAATCACAGAACCTTGGTGGTGAAGTGGTTAAGCACTTGGCTGCTAACCAAAAGGCTGGCAGTTCAAATCCACCAGCCGCTCCTTGGAAGCTGTATGGGGCAGCTCTACGCTGTCTTACAGGCTCACAATGAGTCGGAATTGACTCAATGGCAATGGGTTTGGGTTTTTTGGGGTTTGGGTTAAAAGAGACTTCAGGTGATATGGTCTAAACACCAACTGACACTTGAATCCCTTCACTGGCACTGGAGCTAAGCACCTACCCATGACAGGAAGTTCACACCCTCCTGAGGCAGCCTGGTTACTGTTGGGTGGGACAGCTAAAGCTGTTCAATATTAAACTCTGAATTGTCAACACTCACTCACTGACACACACACACACACACACACACACCCACCCACCTACCCACCCCCAAATTACCTGCAATTGTTGCTCCTGGAGGGCTGAGTGTCTGTGGGATATGAGGATAACCAGGTGGTGGCATCACTGAAGGAGGAAGATTTTGCCTAGAGTCTATGTACAAATTGCCTAATCAGATTGAAAAGCAGAAAGAAGGAAAACATATTACTATACAGTAAAACAAATCAAGCACTAAAATCTTAAAAGAATTGTTACCTAGAACTAAAGTAGGTAAGGTGGGGAGGAAAAGGGGAAAAAAATTACTCTTTTCATATGCTAAGACTCTGCCAAAAGGCAGCGTTGGCCTTTTGAACAGGATGCCAGGCTGAGTGTGAGTACACTGGTACTAATTCTAGCTCTTCCATTGAGTCTCTGTAAACTCATGGCAAGTTATGTCTGTCTGTTGTTGTCTTACACCTCATTACAATTCAAAAGCATTTGATATCCATTACTTCATCTGAGCCTCTCACTAAACCCACAATGACACCAAAAAAGAGACTATTATCCCCATTTTACAGATGAGGCAACTGAGTTGAGGCTCAGAAAGGCTAAAGTGCCTTGCCCAAAGATACATCAGTTTGACAGAGGGCTAGGGCTAGAATCCAGATCTCTTTAATTCACGGGCTCTTTCTATGAACCATTTTTTCTGTTGCCCTGGTCTTCTCACCCTCAAAGCAGACCTAACCACGTGTGTCCTAGTGACTGTGAGGCATAAGGGAACAGAAAAGGTTTACAGAAAAGGTAAAAGAGCTACACCAAGCAAAAGTGATTAAAAATATATTATTTTGAGTATTGAGACTGGAAACACAGGCCTCATTTAAATGGCATTTCAGAAAGTTCTCAATATATTTTAGTTGACAGGAGCCATTACATGTTAACACCTCTAAAAGGTCAATTACACTGCACCGTAACGTAGAACAAACAGGGAGAACAAACATTATGACCCCTGCCCCAATCACTCATGGGGAGGAACGACCATAAAAACTGGTCCACGTTGTAAGGAACATCTGGAATTTTGAAAAAGCTGTTTCCCTAAGGTCTTCTTCTAATGCTTCATACAAATTACACTTGCAATCTAGCAATACTGTAATCAAACTAAAAAACAGCAACTATTTTCCCAGAGGAAACTAAAAAGGGAAGAAAAATCTTCTCTTCAAGATAATGCATACTACATTTGGCTGGACCAGAGAAGAAACTGGACAGAACCAACAGCAGAACCCAGGACCTCTGACCCCTAGCCACTGCCTCCCAAGATGACATTCCTTTCTATAATAAATTTAATAATCAGAATCAAGCTACCACTTAACTATAATGATAATTTAGGAAGAGCGAAGAAAAGTTCTACTAAGCTAGAGCTCTAATATTTGGGTGGAGGAGGAGGAAGGGGTAGGCAATTTCTATTTCTAAGTGCTGATCAGCCTTCACAGGCAGGGCTGCCCCTTCTAAAGGCTTCACCAGGCTGGAGGACCGCACCATTCTGAGTAACGTGGTCACTCATCTATCTGCTACCCAGCCTTTGTCCACAAACTATCTACTCGTCCTTAGAGCTCAAGTCATGGTCAAAAGACAAAACTAGTTTTATTGGAGATAATCTGTATATTCTTTTTTCATTTCTATTTTATGGTTTAGTAATCCTTGCCTTAAAGGTGGTGAGATTATGGGCATAAACACATACCCAAATTAAACAAACAGTGTTAACTTTCTAAAATTCTGTTACATTCCTAACACTTTTATTTTCATACAGAAATTTTCATTATTCCTCATTTTTCCCCCACGTTCTCATTATAGTTTATAAAATGACTCTCATTATAGAGTCTGAATAATGAGACTCTGCCTGAACTTCCTAACAAGAAATTGACCGCCAATGCAGTTCCCAAAGATTTTTGAGATCCTATAACAGTTAGAATCTAGTCATTGGAATTTAAAAATCTAATCACACAATATATTTATTAAAAGCAGACTCTTTTCAAATGCTCCCTCCTTCCTTTCCTTTCATTCATTCATTCAACAGGTATTACGTGCCAGGTATTGCTCTAGGAACTAACAATCCAGCAGCAATGGAAAAAAAAAAAACTCCCTGCCTTTAGGGAAGTTATACTTGGGGGATGAGACAGGGCAGGGAGTTGCGGAGAGAAACAAACAAAATAAAAGAAATAGTATGTTATATATGCTATGGAGAAAAATTAAGTGGGGAGCGTGGACAGGAGTGCTAGACAGTGGGTTCCATTTAAATAGGGTGGTCAGGGATGCCATCACTTGAAGAAGTGCTCTGTGAGAAAAAACTTGAAGGAGATAAGGGAATAAGTCATGGATCTACCTGGAAGAAGACCACTCCAGAGAGAGGACGCACGTGCAAAGGCTGTGAGACAGGTGGAGTGTGCCTGGTGTGTTCAAAGAACAGCAGGGAGGCCAGTGATGTTAGAGCAGAGGGTGAGGGAAGAGAGCAGGGGATGAGGTCAGAGTAATGGGGGACCAGCGCTGTATTTACCTCAGTAATTTGGTTTTTACTGAGAAAGATGGGCACCAATGGAGGGTTTTTTTTCCCCCCCTATGTTTTTATTTTATTTTTTTATTGTACATCAGGTGAAGGCTTACAAAACAAATAGTTTCTCATGAAACAGTAGTACACATATTGTTTTATGACATTGGTTAACAACCCCACGACATGTCAACCC